CGATTCTGGGCGTTTCAAGCTTAGAAAATGATTGGGTTAGCTCCAGGAGATTGCCAGCAAGCGATTGGAAGCTTTAACACACCTTGAATTGGCCTACAGAAGGATATTCGTCTCACCCTTTTCTTTGGAATTTTCAAGTTTTTCTCTTGTTCTTGGAGGCAGCTCTGCACGAAAATTCTTCTGTTTAGGGTTCAATGATCTTTAGCATAAGTAGTGAATCACATTAGGTTAATTATTTTTGGCCAAGATCTCAAGAATTCATGAATGGAATATTTGGTCTTTAAGCCATATGAAATCTTTCCATAACCATGCAAATCATGCCTTTTTGCCTTGATTCAAATTTGATTGATTAAGCCAGCTCATTTGGATTTGATTTTCATCAAAATCAAATCTTCAAAACAAATCTTGGTATTTTTTTCTTATTTATTTGATTTAAAATGATTTTTAATAAATAAAAACCATAATAAAATAAATAAATGGAGCAAATAAGATGTGGTGGCTGCCTTGGGTCGTGGACCATGTTGGAAAGGTGGTGCAAGCTTAAAAATTTTGGCCCATTTATCAAAAAATGCATTTGTGAGCACTTTTGACTTTTGGCAATTTTGCAAAAAAGGTCAACTTCACCAATACATAACTTCCTCAATTTTGACTCTTTGAAGGTGTTCTTGGATTTTTTAGAAAGCTTGAGATATCCTCTAAGCAACCCTTTTATTCTCATCTCAATTTGGTATTCCATGTTCATGTATGAAGCTTTGACAAAAAAGGTGTTTTTGTTGACTTTTCAAAATGACCTATAATGTCCAAATTCATAACTTCTTGTGAGTGAATATTTTGAACTTGGGAGATGAAGATGGATTGTATAGAGTTGCATCCTATTCAAAATGAGCTTTGGATGGGTCATTTCTCATAAAGTATGATAAAGTTATGCTTGGTCAAAGTTGAGTTGACTTTTCCTACAAAACCCTAATTTAGCAACTTTTGGTTCTTGATGAATTATGAGCAATCCTTGATGAATCATGGTCAACCCTTGATAAAATGATGAATGATACTTCAAAATTAGAATGTTGACCAAAAATCTTGAAGTTTGACTGTATGTGGGCCACAATTGACTTTTGCCCTAGCACAGTCGATTTTCAGGCCTTTGAGCAATTGACTGAGCAAACTTTCTCTGCAAGGCTTGAAACTTGACATGGATGATTTTGAGAACATATTAGTACAATGGTGAGAATTTGGGATCCCTTGGACTCAAGTATCTTGATGCAACATGAAACCCTAATTTGAGGTATACTGCCTTAGGAGAGAGCTTGTCTGGTCAACCCTTGGACTTCCTTGAGCAACTTGAGGATCTTTCTTGAAATGTTTTGAGAAATATGGGAGGGAAAATTTTAGGGTACAACATAGTGCTATCTCCAAAGTAGGAGGAAAGTAACAAGAAAGACCTTATTAGTGGGTAAGACTCCTAGTTGCTTGCTCACAACATGTTCAAATATCACATTTTCAAAAATAACAAATATTTTCAAAAACACTTTGTATACATTATTGAAGACTGATGCAAGAATTATTACAAAGTTAGCGTTACATTGGAATTTCAAAATACTTTCAAACAAATCACACACACAAAGCAAGTTTTCAAAATTGATCTAAGAAATTTAGAGCTCGTAGATAACTGCGAATGAAAAGGTGCTAACACCTTCCTTTTTCATAACTTACCCCCCGAACTCAAAATCTATCAAAGGTCTTTCCTATTCTTTTCACCTTTCCTAAATATTGGATAAAAGAAAAGTCGGTGGCGACTCTTGCTAACCGCAATATTTACGATAAAATAAAAAATTCAATTCTCCCACCATATGACACATGTATATATTTCTTTAATGTTCAAACTTAATTAGGGTATGAGTTGATGCAATGTTCTTGTTCAATCTGTAAATTTGATGTTGTTTGCATGTCATAAGTTAAAAACTTCCATTTTTGTTGGTTTATATGGCCCTTATGCCATAAAATTGAAGTATTATGGTGTGGGTAAAGGTTTTGTGGAGCCTCTGCGATGGCTGTCACATAGATGCAAATTGTAGAAATCGTAGGCTCTCTAAGCACAGTCTAGTCGGCTTAGCGCAGTCTGGTGGAAGTTGACTTTTTTCTTTTTTTATTTATGTTCTCGTTTGGTTGTTATGATAAATAGAGGTAGTTATTAGGAATTTATGAATGTATGTGATGGTATTTGTCTTGGTTTTCTTTGATGTTTGTGCAGATGAGTTCAAAAGGAAGTTTGAACAAAAGATCTCGATATACAACCAGATCATCATCATGCTCAACTCTGGATGTAGAGCCAGTGCAGTTTGATAACACAAGGTTTATTGGGCCACTGCAGCAAGCTCGTGTTTACGAGTTGGTTAAGAGGAAAATTTGGTCAGAGAAGATCTTTACTCTTAACCCACAAGGTGACTATAGAGACATTATGGAGAGTTTGAATAACTGGAGATGGGATACCTTGTTGACTCCCCCAACTGAGTTAAACTTTGATTTGGTCCGAGAATTTTATGCTAACACGTTACGTGAAGAAGGTACTCGTTACACCTTTTGTTCTTTTGTGCGGGGTAGGACCGTGTCATTCACTAGGGATGTTATAAATCAATACTTGGGCAACCCTCACACTTTTCAACCAGTCTAACAATGTGCTTACTACAAGAGGGTAACAAGTAAGAAGTGGAAGTTTGATTTGGTAAGTGATGCCTTGGCTCTTCCGAATAGATGTTTTGTTCTCAACCCTTCTAATCAACATATGAAAATGAATAGGTTTGACATGCACACCAAGGCACAGTTGTTGATGACACTAGTGCTTTATAACATCAGGCCTAAAAGTCACACCTCTTTCATGCCTCTTGATATTGCATTCCTATTGTATTTTATTCTTACTGCAAAACAAGTGGATGTTGCTTAGGTCATCTCGAATGAGATGCAAAATATTGACATTAGTGGACAGGCACTTGGTTCTAAGATTTCAGTTACTCTTGCTTACCCGGGCCTTATTATGGGGCTATGTATTCGAGCAGCGGTTAATATTCCTACAGTGATGAACAAGGTAATCAGAAGTGTAGTGAATGATGACTATGTTTTGCAGCATTGTATGCCGAAATTGGATGGTGTGTGAGCACCATAGCCTCAAGAAAATGCTCCTCTAACTGGTCCCAGAAGATATAATGGGCAATAAGTCTGCATGTACAACTGACAGATTATGGAGGCCCAGATGAGAGCTTTCTTGTTTATTCATGATTCTATGCAGCTGTTGTATTGTCATCAGTCTGCACAAGAGGAGGTTCTGTCTTTTCTGACTCACGAGGAATTTTTAGCACATGCTAATTACCCTAATGGCAGACCATTTTTTTCAGGAGGGGGAAGCTGCTAGTGGTGATGATTATCAGGATTCTGAGTCTCATGAGAGTGGAGATGATATGAGGCGTTATACGCTGATAGGTTTGGTTCACTAATATTATCTTTATGTTTATTATTTCTTGTTTTTATTTTGATGTTCAGACAGAATTTTTTTTTGTAATAACCAGGTATTAAAAAAAAATCGCAAATAACCATGTTTCGGAGAAAATTACGCAAATAGGCATGTTTCAGAAAATTTCACAAGGAAGGAGCCAACCCAGTTGGCACATGCACCTTATTTTAAAGGGGAGGCGCCATCTCACTTGACGCCTATGTGTGAAATGCTTGCCCTAAGTCAAGTGAGATGGCGCCTTAATGCAATTGGGAGGCGATTTTTCGCGTTTTTTATTTTAAATGTGGTACGTTACGTAAACGATATAGGATCACGAAGATTGACTTTTTGTGTACATAATATGATTACACGAAACGATTACATAAAAAAATACAGATTAATCAATGGTCTCCCGGAACCCGGTAATGACCCCCGGACTACCAGCTCAACCACATAAAAATAACCGTCTATGAAATTACAACCGTTAAGACAATTTCATCTGACCCATGCACCATCAACATTACGTTCTTGTCACAAGTGAGGTGGTTGTTCTTCTTCGCTGGATCCTTCTGATTTGTTCCCCATCCTCCATGGAGTGAATGTGCCAGAATTTCATTTTCATCGGAGGTTTTGTGGCCGAGAAAATAACGTAACCATCTCTGATAAAAATCATGGGGGATATCATGATGCAAATAACAGAGAAAAATAAGAAGACAGTGTGAGAAAGTGTGAAGAATGACGAAGAAACGGACGGATTATTTATAAAAAAATGCATTTTACCCTAGGAGTCAACTGAGATGGCGTCTCCATTCACTTTTAAAGTGTATGCGCCATCTCACTTGGCTAAAATAGAGTGCATGCGCCAAGTGAGATGGCGCCTAGGGCAAAATCCTAGGTGCATGCGTCAACTGGGTTGGCTCTTCCCTTGTGGAGTTTTCTGAAACATGATTATTTGCATAATTTTCTCCGAAATATGGTTATTTGCGAAGAAAAAAATTTAATACCTAGTTATTAAAAAAAAAAATCCGCTTTTGCATTAGGGAAACAAAGATAATTCACCGAAAGTTGCCACAACTTGACATCTGATTAACAAATAATTTACTACATATTATTAGAAATATTTGGATTGATTTTTTTTTACAAAGCACATATATGACAGTTCCGAGGAATTTATGCAAACAGCTTATGGCAAGTTCTTAAACTATTTTCAACCTATTTCCATAAATTCGCAAAATAGTTTTATAGGAAAGCACGGTTTGCTTGCATAGGCACTTATATCACACAAGTTGTAAGTTATTTATCTAAACATGTTCATTTTGAACTATGAACCATGGCAACTTAAAGAATTCTCATGGCAAACAAGGGAGATATATATTTAATCAAGAAGTTCTGTGTGGCAAATTGCATCCATACACAGTTGGAGCTCCATATAACAGTGATAACAAAGTACTGTGCAGTACATACGAACCACTGAAAACAATAGGAATTAAAGTGAGGCGGGTAAGTACAGCAGAAACACTTATGAACAACAGGATGCAGCCCTAGATCCTTCGGTGGGTCTATCAACAAGAACCATCCCTGCCGGATTTTGAGCTGGCTGAGCCCTTGGTAATCTCTTGGCTGTTAACACAAGCAATTGTAAGTTAGGAAATGTAATCAAAGTTCAGCAGTTTATGCAAAATAAATAAATGCTGTTTAAAAGCATGGTATGATCATAAAATGTAAGGTTAATTTGTATGTTTTCTAGAAATCAGGAATATAAAGTAATAACTGAATAACTATTACTACGTATTTGATATGTCACAAACATAAAGCGGAAGTCTGCTGCAAGGCACAGAAGAAAAATAATACAAGAATGTTGTAATGAAATATAATAAGGATGCAAGGGAAAATATTTGGTAACATTAAAGAGACTGAAAAGGGTATATATATAGACCAGAGACAAGTTTCATAAACAAGGTGTCTCATGAGAAGGTTCAGACAACTGTGCCATGGCCTATAACAAATTAGAGAAAATTTTATGAATTATGAGAAGGTTCAGACAACTGTGCCGTGACCTATAACTGATTTAAAAGATTTTATAATTTAACTTTGCTGGGTAATGAATACCATAGCACTAGCAGTGTCTCGGACTGTAAAGTGAAGACAGATATTTTCTCAATTCTAAGGGATTCAATCAAAAATAAAACAAGAGCCTCATTTGGGAGCCTAAAGTATATATAACAGGAATTGACTCACCAATTTCATAAAATACATCATTAACATTGGCTGCAGATTTGGCAGAGGTCTCCATGAAAAACAGACCATTTTCTTCTGCATATACACGTGCTTCCTGCAATACCAATGAATCAAAATGATAAATCAGTAGGTCCAGGATATGCGATTATTGATGATAGGATATTGATTCTATAAATTATGAAACTACCAAACATGCTGCAATGGTCAATTACACATTATCGCATCTTTTGTGTCAAAATTGAAGTTTTGTGATGGTAGAAAATTAGCAAGGTGGTTATACAACTATCCTACAAGACAAAATCAGCATCCCTGTATAACCAATATGCATTATACAAATAGGCATTACCATTAAAAATAGTTATTTTAGGAAGATTGAAACCAAATAGGCATTACCATTAAAAATAGTTGTTTTAGGAAGATTGAAACTTTGAATTCTACCCCCCACATTCTTGTGATAGAAAGATTACATCCCTCTCAAACACTTTTCAAAAGCAATGGAATTGTTAATCAATTAGTGAAATCTGACAATGGAGACAATGCATGTTATGCCTGTGATTAATTTCTTTGGAAAAAATCATGCGCACTTATCAATCCCGGATGTTCTGTCATTCGTTATTTAGGACTAGTATGCAAAACATGTGACATTGTTCTTATTTCTATACTTTGTGTACATCACACAAATATTGTTAAGAAACTGTAATTCTTGATAACTAAAATGGCAAAAAGAAATATTGGAGAACACTAACACTTACTTCGGCTGTCACTTTTCTTTTGTCTTCCAAGTCAGATTTGTTACCAGTGAGAGCCATGACCATGTTCGGGTTACCTGCAACATAACGTAATTAAAGCATTATTTGACAATCTAGTTATGCAATTAGTAAAGCTATCATAAACCCAGTATTATTACTAGAGAGAGGGAAATCAAAAGTCGTCCATGCTTGATGCGATATATCAGCACAAACTCTCAAATCAAACTTAATTTTTCTACACAAGCATTAGTACTAATTCTAAACTTATCAAGAATGTAGATCGATGATAGCTGATAGCTGAGTTCTTATAGTAACATGTATGGTACAAAAAATAGCTAGACATTCATTCAAATAATTTAATATCATAGGTAACTTGTTGCACTCAAAAGTTCAATGTGTATCTCAGGCTCTCTGTAAATGGAATCTTGAATGATTCTAACTGTTCACAATATTTTCATGCACATAATCCTTCTGATATCATTTCATGTGCGATTCATTCATATTTGTTAGCCCAAAATTGATAGCCAATAAAACAAAATAAATGACATAAGGAACATTGAGATTGACAAATGCAGCAAAAATGTTTAACAAGTAGGCAGAATCAAAAAGTTTGCAAATGGTTGTAAACATAGCTTAATCTTCTTTTGCAATACATCAATTCTATTCATTCTGGGGAAAAACATAAGAACACACAAAAGTTCTGGAACCAACAAGTTAATACCTTGCTTTTGAAGCTCTTGAACCCACTTTTTAGCTCGTGTAAATGAATCCTAAGAATAGAAGATAGAAATAATCATTCATAAAAAAAACATAGGTTTAAAAATCTAAAATGTAAAACGAAGAATACCAAACCCAGCTCAACCAACAAAAGAAAGAACCCATTAGCATATTTGATCTCTTCCACATTTACAAAAACTATGATGTCTTCCTAATAGGAATTCAAACTATGTGGTTGATCCACTATATCTTACTCATTTTTCAAAAATTTCCACGAATTATAGTCTGACAATCAGCACTCTAAATCACAATCTACAAATATATTGTCAAATTTCCAAATACAGAAAGGAAAAGACATCATACTAAGCTAGTGATGTCATAGACAATGATAGCAGCAGCAGCGCCTCTGTAATACATGGGAGCCAAGCTATGATATCTCTCTTGTCCCGCTGTATCCCAAATCTCGAATTTCACCGTTGCATCATTTACCGCCAATGTCTGTGAAAAGAATGCTGCTCCTATTGTTGATTCCTAAACCACAAAAAACCATACAAACTCAGCAAAATAATCCGCATGTTGAAGGCACATCATCAGCCACAAAAGAACAGTCTCATTCACATAACCAGTGTACAACAGTAATTGAAAATAACCTGAAATTCAAGAAATTGACCCTTGACGAATCTCAAAACAAGGCTGGATTTTCCGGCACCCATATCCCCGAGAAGAACCTAATGAAAAAAATACAGTTAGAAGGGTATAATCGGAATTAAAAAAGTAGAAGGGTATCATATCATAGAAAGAAACAGAGGAAATACCAATTTTGCATTGAGATTGTTGTGTCCGATCGTAGCCATGGGAAGAAAATTGGATCGATCGGAAGCGAACAGAGAAACAAGAAAGATCAGAACTTGGAATTTGATATTTGAAAACGATGGAATCGGAGACAGAGAGAGAAGAGTCTCTGTCTGGATTCTATTGCTTTTCGGTTACGGTGAGTTTCGTAGCTATAGCTATAGCGTTCTCTGCGTTTAAACGCCTTCGTTTTGTTTGTTTCGTAGTCGTTTTTGTCTTCTCTTTTTTATTTTTGTTATTGATGCCTTCTTTGTTACTAACTTTCTTTTCACTTTGTTTACTCACATACATATCCATCAAGTGTTCTTATCTATGTCTCCTCTTATTGGGTAGGTATGATGTTCTTTTTTTTTTCTTTCTTCTTTTTACTTTTTTTTTTTTTATATAGATAAAATAATTTTCTTTGATTCTACTAGATGTGATCCTAATATGTCACTTTTTTCTTTAAAAAGCAAGTATCTGTAAATTAAATATTACATATGTTAGTTGTTAGGAATAGAGATTGAGTTTCAAACTTTATCCCCTTATAGTTCCATATATCTTACATTTTGAACATTGTATGAAATTATATATTTATCAATATTGATATAATTTGAAACTTATTGCAAAAAATAATTTAAATTTTGTCTTAAATATAAGTTGTTTTTGAGACTTTTCACTTTTTGTAACTTTTTAAAAAATTTATATCATATTAAGTATTTCTTTATCACATACTCATATTAAAAAAAAATCAAACAATTAATAGAAAATTCTTTTTTAAAAGACAACTTGTAAAAATAATATCAATTAATAGATAATCGATATTACTTTTTAATGTTTGATTCTCTAAAAAGATAACATTAGACCTCGATAAACTTCACTCTCTTTGTTTTTAATTAAATATTATTTTATTACTTATTATTTTGTTTCTATCACACATTAAAAACTATAATTAATTTTTGAAATGAAAATGGAATTATTTTACAAAACTAATTTTTAATAGAATAACAAATACTTAAACAAAACTATAATTAAAAATAACATCAATACTTTATTAATATCATAAAACTAAAAATCTTCATTGGGAGAAACCTCCTTCCATTATATACAAAGAAAATTATTTTATCTATATACAACATTTTTTCGACTCCAAATGATATCATCTGCTTATCTTAAAGGTGCGGCATTAATTTAGATAGGATCAAAACATCTCTTCTTTAATATTAATTTCTTTTTAAATGTCATTCTAAAATATAAATATTTGAACATTTTTTAGTACCTAACTAATATTAAATTGATATGAGAAGACTAAAAAGATGTCTTGAGAAATAAGTAGATGCCAAACAGATGCTATGTTAAGAACTCAAAAATTAGAAATAGATGATTATCCAAAATAGTTATTGACTATTATTACCCAAATGGCTATAACATTTTGTCTTTGCCATTTTGATGTGCAAATTCAAATAAAAGCTTTCATTTTCAAAAGCAAATGAAAACAAGTCATATCCTGAAGAGGAAAATCTGTTCCTAATGAAAAACAAGTCATATCCTCGATATCTGAAGAGGAAAATTTGTTCCTAATGTTTCATGTCTAACAGAAACTTGAGACAGGCTTTCTAAGTTGCCTTGTTTCTCCCAAAGGTATCTCTGACAGTTTTCAGCAGCCATAACTCCAGCAGAGTAAGCTCCATGCACAGATCCTTGGTTGTCTAAGCTTACAGCTTCCCCGCCAAAGAATAGATTACCTAAAGGTGCACGAAGCTTGTCATACACATCCATTGATTTTCCAACCAAATCGTAAGAGTAACAACCAAGAGAGTTTGGATCTGTTCCCCAATGTGACACAAGATACTGAACCTGTATTCATAAAACATAACCAAGTGTCAAGTTACTGCTGTTCAAAATGCTTTTAAACTCGGTTTTCAAAGCTCAAAATTAAAGAAGCCAGATGATACTGAATAACTAATTGCATGAAAGCCAGGAATCTCTGAACTGCATGGAATAAGGATTCGGAGAACGTAGAGGTTAACTTACTGGCTCACAAGCATCAGGAAACATCTTCTTAAGCTGTAGCATTACAAAATTTGCAGCTGACTCATCCGATAGCTTCTCAAGGTCATAAGCAAACCTGCCAGCTGCCATATAAACAAGAACTGGATGGCCTGTTGCTTTATGGAGGTTGAGAAAATAGCCACAGGCGTACGAGGTAGGAGCAACAACGCCCAGAAGTTCTACATTAGGCCAAAACACTTTGTCAAATCTTAGTGCAATTTTATTTTCATTGCCTACACCAAGATCTGAAATTGCAGAAACTTTCCAATCAGGAAGTCTTGGTTCAAACTCAATTAAGTTGGCTTTCAGGATTCCAACTGGAACAGTTATGATAGCAGCGTCAGCAACAAAGTTCCTGCCATCCTCCAAGGTAACCATTACCTTATTGTAGCCATTGGATATCTTGGTCACCCTACACAGTGAGGTTTTACAAAAGGATCAAAACCTAGCACCTTAAGTATCTAACCCACCATAAAGAGGGCGGGGGGGATAAAGGAAAAGTTGTAGAAGCAATCTTATTAGAAACTAAGCCATAGATGTCTATTTATATCTTTATTGCATTTTCGCGACTTCAAAATGGAAACAGTATATTTTCTTCTTTATTTATTTCATTTTCGGTCATTGATCATGAAAAATGACAATGCAGTTAAGTCATGAATATTATTTTGCAGGCATACCTGTGGTTCAGGCGTATATCAATATCTTTAGCAAGAGCATCTATAACAGGATTATATCCTTGGACCATGAGTCCGTGACCACCAGAGAGGACATGTTCCTACAGTTAGAAACCACAGCAAGGTAAGCAATACTTCAGATGTTAAAGAATACTTAATAATAACTACTAGGCGCATCAGATCTCATATCGTCAACTTGAAGGAGGAAGAATGAGGAATAAAAACTAAGGACTAACAAAAACAACAGAAATCCTTCTCCCAATAACCCATTGACTTGTGAAAATTTTTAATGGAAGCTCACATGTAAAATTTAAATTGATCAATTAATGATAATTAGTTATGTATCTCAATGAAGGACTTCTCAACATTTAAATAATACATTAATGAACAGAGTGAGACAATAATTCAACTATTCTGAAAAATTAGCAATATAGATTTAAGTTTATTGTACTCCAACGCACAAGAGTTCACCATTTTTTCATGTATATCAACAATAATCTAAATGAAGGATTTGTTTGCAAATAAAGATTTATGAATGAAATCATGTATAAAAGACAAAAGAACAATTTATCTCAGTTTAGAGACAAGGATCAGTTTGCGAGTTTCGAGGGGAGGGCAGGACTTTGGGTAAAAGGAAGGAAGAAAAAGAAAGGATAGTCCCCCATCTTGAATAGGAAGTTTGTTTTTCTGCACAATACAAAATCCTCCCAAATGGAGATCTCAAAAATTTTATTGAAGGAAGATATTAGAGGGCTTAGATAAATCTTTCAGATTCAATCTATGTTGTTATAATATTCTGAAGATTAAAATTATGTTAATGATACGCATTCATTTATCATTCTCTACAAAAGCACTATCTCAAAATATGTGGAAGATTTCTCTATTTTTCTCTCTACTCCCCTCCCCCAAAAGCCCTCATTTTCTCTTCCCTCCAAACTCTCAAACTAGTACAGTAACACTTGCCTGATCCCAGCTTTTCAGTGAAATCATATCAGCATCAGCAGCAAACCAAGCTTCCATTCTGCATATGAACCATTGCAGCACTTCATGTGCAAGTCCTTGTTTCCTGTAGTAAACATCGTCAATTATACTCATAGATTCGAAAATCAAGTATCCATGCTTGTACAACTATACTCTTCCTAATTAGATACCTTAGTTGTGGATGCCTATCCAGCACAATTGAAATCGCTTCGGAAACTGAAATGTCTTCAGGATGCTCATCCCTTACTTTACCCGTCTGCAGATATGGAATTAAAAAGAGTAAAGATATAGTCAAACAAGTGTGTAGTGCAAGTAGTTGTATGAAGCCTATATATGAGCAATAATTAAGAACATTTAACAGCACCCCTTTTAGTTTTGTTTTCCATTTAACAATGTAATCTTATTTGCTAGTATTTCAATATCTTTGACAAGAATTGCTTTAAGAAAAGTACAAAAAATAATAACACTACAAGACATCAAATATAATTCATATTTATATTGTGATACCGGTAGCACTGATTCATAGCACGTAAATAGAGCTAAACAATCAAAGCTATTAGTGACTCATCGAATGATTTTAATTGTTATCAACTCACATCAAACCAACTGATTCTAGTTGTGAATTGTAAAATATTTAATAACTATGCATCTTACCTCTTCCAGAATTCTCTTGAAAGTTTCTCCAACTTCAACGACGGTCTGTTGCTGAACTTTATTGCCATCAATGTCAAAAAGCATACAGCTGGAAACACAAAATGCAGTTAGTTACTATGAAAAACTACCAGTGGAATTGCAAAAGATAAAGTAGTTTTAATATTTTGAACATAACAGTAAATCATATACATGTCAGTGGAAATAATATTTATTTAAAAAATTGCATTATAAACCTTTAAATTCAAAAGTGTAATGGAATTGCAGTCACGCGGTGGATTATTACCTTTCCAAATCATGGTCATATAAGACCGAGTCGTCACCACTGGTACGGTACAGTGTAAGCCCTAGGCAACGTATCAACGGAGCCAAAGGATTCTCATTACAAACTCCATGTAGCCTGGAAATTTCTCAACAAAGAAAGAGTCATATTAATTTCTTACACATTCTACTAACTCCTAAGTGCGAACAAATTCTGCTCATTTCATCTATGTGTACAATAAAAACAAATTCAACAGAGCAAACTGAATTTACCATGAGGCTCCCATGTCAACTGGACAACCGAACGAGTAGTCAGTATGAATGCGGCCACCGAGCCTATCTCGTGACTCCAATAGGGTGACCTGACCAAATGATGAAAACAAATTACAAAAAGCAAGAAATATATTTCCTCTGACATAATTCCATAAAATAGAAAGATTAAATATATAGGATGGCTGATCATAACGATATGACACCTTAAAAGATGCATCGTGAAGAATACGTGCTGCAGCAATCCCTGATATTCCAGCACCAATAACTATCACTGACGGAGCTGGTCTTTGTTGGTTATCAATGAGTGATGTAATAGTGCCTGACCATCATACACAAAAAATCAGAAGGAGAGCAATCCCCACACACCAAGAAAAAGACAAGTTAAGTCCAATAAAAAATCCCACTCGTGAAAGAAAACACTTATTAAATTTACTTTGTGCTATGTGCTCAACAATGCAACCAACTCAATTCCAAAACCTCCTAAGAACAAGTTTAGATCAATCACTACAAAGATGAATAAATGAATTTTTATTTAAAAAGGGTAATATTATCAGATTTGAAATGAAAACAGTATTTATTTTTCAGTGCTCCCAGTATCAAATTTTAGGACATATCATTTGATACAAACTAAGAACAGAAACAGAAGGTGTAACATGACCATGTGAAGAAAAAAACATTTGTAATTGCTCTGACCAAAAAACAAAAAATAACAGAGTGGGCAGTTGTCAGAGTTCTGTCTTTTCCAATCAAAATATCAAATCCTTATAATTAATAATATAATTAAAACACCAAACTCAATCATTCAGCACTCATGACCTCAGGAAAAAAAAAACAAAATATATAATTTTGTATTGACCTAATTTTTCATATTATTAATCATATTCTGAATATAAAAAAATCAGTACCATCCAGATTCCAGATCCATATTATAAAAATCCAGCAATAAGCAACTACTACAAGTCTACAATAATAAAATTATAAACATGAATCATAGACAGTACCTTGAATTGATACTAGTAATAATAATAATAATAGTAATAATAATAATAATAATAATAATAATAATAATAATACAAGAAGTCAACAACACAAAAAAAAGTTTTGTCCCACTAGATGGGGTCAGCAACATCAACAAAACAAACAGTAAAATATCCCATTAGAAACTGATTCAAATTATATAAATATATCATTTTCACCTACTTTGTACCACAATTAACACCTCAATTATTCCAAAATCATACAAAATCAGGTCTTTATTTAAATTTAAAAAAAAAACAAAAAAAAAAGAATCCTAAATCCCAAAGATAAATCAACAAAATCAGAGGGAAAAAAACTCAATTTTCCAATTCAATTTCTTAAAAATAAAACCAATAAACAACGCAGCAACAAAAAAATTGTAAGGGAAAAAGTAGAGAGAAACTAACCATCGAGAAAATTGTTAGGGAAAAAGAGTTTAGGGTCCATGAACGACGAAGTCAAAGTTAACGACTTAAGATGAAATGATGAAATAATAATGTGAGCACGAACGAATGAAGATTGAATTGAAATCGCAATCGAAAACGAAAGAATGTGGATGATTCAAAAAGGGTGTATAGGATTAGGGAAATTGGAAACCAACTGAAACGAATTACAGAAAATCAAAAGAAGGATGCCGGCAATGAAGCGGCTAAGATAAGAAGAAAAACTTAGCTTCTCAAACAATATCATAAGGTAAGTTAGATTTGATTTATGGGAAGGATGAAAATCGGAGTGTATCCACCGGAGATCGCCGGAGATTCGACGATTTCTGCATGTGGTGGTGGATTCACAGGGTTGTGAATGGAAAAAAGAATAAATTCTCTTTCTTTCTCTCTCCGCCGGGTATTTCAATGAAGGGGAATAATGTGAGTAACGCAATGAATGGGATACTCTATTTTTGCCGAACACGCTATTTATACTTCGTGTGGAGCTTCCTTGCTGGATGACCCTACTTTTTTTTTTTTTTAATATTCTTTTTTTAAATCAAAATATCTAGTAGTACGTAACAACTTTTTCGGTACAAAAACCTATTTTAACTCCTATTTAATTGACACTATCTCTCTTGATCTGATAATAAGTATTTCATTTACTTTTTTTTTTTTATGTTTCAAAATAAATATTTTTTTTGAATATCAATATAATTTTTTTTATTATTATATTTTTATTTATTAATTTTCATGTTTTTTAACTATTATATTAATTATAATAAATAATATTAATTTTATCATTACAAAAATTAATATAGATATATCTTTTGTTGGGTATCTAAAGGCAAACCCATTGGATTTTTAAGTAGGCTAAACATTCATAGAGTTTAACTTTCTTGCTATGAACACCAATGTCACCTTTAAAATTTAATTCGGCACCTCAGTTTTTATAATATCTATATTATTTTTATAATAAATTTGGTAAAACGAATAAAATTTTTGATATAATATATTTAGTTAAAGAGTGATAAAAATTTGAAGGTTATATGGAGAATATATTATTGGAGGTTAATTAAGAGACCGGTCGAGTTTGATACGATAATTTTAAGATTTGTTGACGACATAATCAAAAATATTGAAACGTCCAGAATCATCTAGTAGTGTTTAAGTTTTGTTATTTATTATTGTTTTGTTAAGTTATGTAATCGTCTAGCTGAAGTTATTTTAATTGTCAAGTGTTAGACTATTTGTCAGATGTTAAGTTACGTTCATCATGCAATAATGGAAGTGACAAAATGTTATCATAGTGAAATTGAAATTCTAGTATTGACAGTCCAGATGTCGTACACGATGTCGTACCCATGTTCTGGTATAAGATGTCGAACTAGGTGTCACAATATTATAGAACTGACAGTTAATAAGATATAATGCAGGAAGTAAATAACGCAGCTAATTATTAATCAAGTTCGGTGTAATCTCACCTACATCTGGGAGCATCCAAGTCAGGAAGGAAATCCACTATAATAGTATTAGTTTGAAGTTTCAAACAACCTCTGTTATGTAAATTTCTCACCTAATCTCTACCCATGTAATTTCTACCTAGGAACTCCTAGATATGAGACCCCTCTCACTTCCCTTCAATCACACAACATTGACGATTACAACAATAACAATAGAAATAGAAGACACTCTTAAAAGACACATAATCAGCTTTGCTTAAAAGCTTATGCCCGATTAACAAATACAACTTGACACACAATTCACTCTTGCTTAAAAGCTTATGAGTGATTTATAATTACAACTCAAATAAAGTTCAATTCAAGCATCTAAGAGATACATGAATGACTCACAATAAACATAATTCAACTATACTATATAATGGATCACAGACAACAAAGAAATCGACTAAACCCTAAAACCCCTCTTTCAATACCTGACTTAGTTACTTTCTTAGGTTTAGAATCGTCCTTTATATAGATAATGATAAGCATGGGCTTTGGGCTCTTCAATCAGATGAAACACATATCCAAACAATAACTTTAAATCTTCTGCAAAATCTTATACACAATAATAGGAACAAAATAGAAAGTTTTCAAATAAAAATCTCCAATATCCTTTTTATAAAACAAATGCACTTCTAGCACATAACTGATGTTCCTAAAATAACCTTCCTTGGTTTGCGACAATATAAGAACAAAAATAATTCAGAATCTCATATTTTAAAAAACGAATCTTCCAAATTCACAAAACCCTAACACCTGGTATAACATATCACGACAGATGTTACGACATCCTGTTGACCAACAATGATGTCTGACCAACAAATGTGAAGATATCTTACTTGACATCTCGTTGTGATATTATTTTAACAAAATTTTTGTCAATCACAGAACTTACTGTAACACCCCAATTCTACCCAGCGATTATTATAAAATCAGAGTGATGAAATTCTGACAACTGAATCAGGATGTTACACATTCAACTTAAAACAACAACACTCATTAATAGATACATAACACATTAAACTGGAATGAACCAACAACAACATAAAATTAACCTCTTAAAACAGCAACATTCATAACTACGCAGCGGAATCATAATATTCGACTTAAAAGAGTATAACATCTTAACCAACTAACACAACTTCAAAATAACCATTACTTAATAATATTCAACTTAAAATTTAATCTACTGAAATAATAATAATAAAACAACAAGCGTTCATCCCCCGAGTATTACGTATTAGAGCAATGACACAGGCTCGAACTACTGAAGGTATACCGCCTTCACTCTGGGTTACCTTCACGTTACCAACATCGGGGTAACATTTAAACAGAAGGGGTGAGATATCGAACAATATAATAGATTGCATGATAAATAAAACATTAGGATCGGTTCATACATATTCACCACTTCTCAAGTTTAATCATAATAAGCATAATCAAATCAACCGCACACGACTCAGAATGCAATAGAGGATGTAACTCGACTTTATGCAAATGCATGTGGTACCAATGGAGCAGAACTCCCATCTTAAAAATCTGCCAATAAATAGAGGCATCAACAAGGCATAAGCTTTCTTCACAGTTTGTCAATCCAGGCTATCACAGAGTATGCAAATGTATATGACTCAATGAATGCACTATCACATACTCACAACAATCATCATCCATCGCAAGGCATAAGCCCACATCACTATTATTACCAGTAAATAGAGGTAATTCATCGTTATCTAAAATTCCCTGCAACTTCGAATTACTAACAAGAATTCACAGTGACAATCACAACAACACAACAACTCACATCAATCCATATTAGCCATAAGCCTATCGATTAAATACCACTTGAAATTCATATTTTCCAGTCAATTATTCAACACACTGTATCGACTAAAATATACAATAATTATTCCGTATAATTATTCGGACAGTTCGACTATACCGGCTTAATAGTTATCTGCTAAAATTAATACTTTTTCTTCTCTGTACTATTATTATCAAACCCACACTGCTACCACTAAAATTAATAAACATGCTACTAATTTATCTTTACTGTTAATATATATATATATATATATATATATATATATATATATATATATATATATATATATTGGTTACTAATGTCTCTGCTATTTTAATATCAACTTTGTCATATTAATATTATTTTGCTACTAAAATTATATATACTTCCAGTAATTAATAAAACTCCATTGATTAATTTATACTCTAATCATACTAAGTAATTAGTCTATAGTTTCTAATCAACATGTTACTAATTTGCTAAAAGTTGGTGAAAGAACTAATAAAAAAAGAACCTAGTAACTTAATAATAAAAATTGCTACTAAGAAAGGAATACTGGGACTCTTGTCTTTCTTTTGTCCCCCTCGCCACCTCATGGTTTGCCTGGTGACACACTTCCCTCTCTCTCCCCATGTGCCACTCGACACACTTCCTCTCTCTCTCACTGTGTGCCACTCGTCACACTCACACACACACAGGGTGCCGCTCGGCACCCCTTTCCCTGGCGGGCGCCACTTTTTGAGTGTCTCTTGGCACACTTCTTCCAGTACCCGTTTTCTACGTAATTTTTCCAGAAAATTCTTAATACCAGTCTCATATACCAACACTTTAAGTACTACAACATTAGTTTTTAGAGACAATTTATCACCGAGACAACAATCCAAATACATGAAATTAACAGCAACACTTTCAACACACTTAGCAGGATTTAACAACAATTTTTCTTTTTATCCAACCCAATCCCACGTATCATTTATCAGACAACCCGTTATAGAGTCAGAATCCCACCCTTACCTTGGATTGAAGTTCGCTCTACGATTTTCCGATCGAATCTCGCTTTGCCTCTTCTCCTTATTCCTCATCTTTGCAACTTCTCATTCTTCTGTAACTCCTACGATCAACTTCTAATTCTTTATTCTAAATTAACCTAATTTCTATTATTACTAAACGTAATAATAATAGTCTATTGGGCCTAATTCTCACACCCCTTTAATATAACATACCACCAAAATTAGCCCGATCACTAATACCAATAATTCCAACATTTATTATTATTAATCAACTAATTAATTAATTAATAATAATCTAACAACTTATACCCATGATTCTCAATATTTCATAACTTCAACAAATAATTCAAAAATAATTTAATTAAATAATTAATTAAATCAACGGGAGTTACAACTCTCCCCCACTTAGAATATTTTCGTCCTCGAAAATTTATCTCATTCAAACAACTCAGGATAGGAGTCCTGCATCTTGCTTTCCAACTCCCAAGTCATGCTTTCTCTGGCAGCTCCTAGCCAGACTACTTTCACCAAAGCAATTTCCTTGCCTCTTAGAGTCTTCATTTCACGATCCGTGATCCGTATAGACATCGTCTCTACAGTAAGATTATCACGTACTTGCATATCATCCATATGAATCACATGAGATGGATCTGAAATATACTTCCGGAGTTGTGACACATGAAACGCATCATGCAAATTCGAAAGCTTAGGCGGTAAGGCCACTCTATAAGCAACATTCCCAACTCTTTCTGAAATCTGATACGGACCAATAAAACGAGAAGTGAGCTTCTTAGACTTCGACACTCGCCCAAACCAATTACAGGTGTAACTCTCAAAAACACATGGTCACCTGCTTGAAATTCTAAGTCCTTCCTTTGCTTGTCATGATAACTCTTCTGTCTACTTTGGGAAGCTTTCATCTTTTCTCAAATCAACTTTACCTTCTCAATAGTCTCGCGAATAAGTTCAGGTCCAAGCACTACACTTTCTCCATATTCATGCCAACACAAAGGAGTTCTACATCTCCGACCATACAACGCCTCAAAAGGTGCCATCCCAATACTAGAATGGTAACTGTTATTATAAGTGAACTCTATCAACGGAAGATAAGTATCCTACTAACCTCTCTGCTCAAGAACACATGCTC